GATTTTGGCTCTGGGAAATAGGATGCGGAAGCCATCGGCGAATTTGGCGACATGTTTGAGGCTGGCATCGCCCCAGCCGAAAAGAAGTATCAGGTCGGGCCCATTTCCATCGGCGATATCTTTATCAAGACCATGTTGTGGCACTGGGAGGAGGTGTACTTGATCAGAGAGTCTTGTGAATTTGTCGGTTGTTCTGGAATATGATAGCTGGGGGTCTTTCGATTGGATCTCTCCAATGTCTGCTTTGGAGGTAGTCATTGCTGTGATATACGTGGCAAGGTAGTCGACGCCGAACACGCAAGCGAAACGAGCGACGTTCACAAAGCATCAAAGAGGGACGAGGACTAGTAAAGTAAGGGAAACGGACACGTTGGGCCATAACGAGTTAGTTCGATACTGACTGCACTACTGGGAATGATTGGCCGGGGTCTTGGGTTATCTCCTGCAGCACCCGCGGGCCGCAGGATGTGTGACTGCCAATATTGTATGCGGGAAAGCGGCGCAGCACCCGAGTTGCTACTTTCAGAAGATTACCACACTTGATTAAAATACATGCGCTGTGAGTGGTCAAACTAGATACTATGCACCATTCACATACAGTGAACATTTATGAGACTGCCTAAATTTCCTGCGTGTGCGCGGCTATGTTTCTTATATGTATTTACGTAACTACGTGTATTGGAGATGGTGATGGCGACGAAGATGACGACGATAGAAACGTTAATAGCGATACAAGCAACAACAACAATAGAAGTAACGACAATAGAAGTAATAACGGTAAGGTAGGGTATAGAAAAGTAGTCGGTATAGTATAGAAAAAATACGCGGTCTTATACATAGGTATTAAGCGTTGGATGCCGATTCCCTCTTGTAACTGGCTTTCTAATTATGCAGGTTAACCCTCTCGACACACTTGAAATTTTCGCCAAACAAACACACGATGTTCTTCGCACTCTCTAAAGACACCAATCGTATCGTACGCTGCGGCTTGTTCCATCGAAAATTACCTATGATGTTTTTACTTGCAATATCCCTTGCAGGCAGATGATAATCCTCCTGCGATTGACATTGAGTTTCCCGTCATGTTACACCTTTATCTTGGGCAAATACATCCGCTTGAATGCACCCAATGCCATGACGGGAAAGTAGAACTTGTAGTTGGGGTATCCGATCATACTTCCAGTTTCCCCCAAAGGTCAGCTCAACTCTCACTCGGAATAGACAAGCAAACGGATATCCAGTTGTCAACTCACCAAGTCCGATTGAACACTCCTTCAACGCCCTCGTGCAACCACTCGCCATTTCCCTGCTGCCGGCTCTGGATCAACTGCAGAGAGGTCAGCTCATTATCAAATTGCATGCGCGGGCCGCTTCGCCAGACAGGCAGAAAAACAGACACATACCTCAAGTCCTCTCCGAATAGGCTTTGAATCAGGGTATCCAGCGTGCATCAGTGCCAGCACAGCCCAACAAGTGTTGACGACCTGGCTCTTCTCATGCTGGATCCACCTCCTCTCGGCGCACGATGAGTGATGCTCACCCCACCCCCCATCGTCCATCTGCTTGCTCAGCAGAAAGTCGCAAGCCCTGCGCACATGCTCGCTGTTGTGATACTGCTCGCCGACCGCCTCTAAGCTCTGCAGAGCAAAAAAGGTAGCATAAGTGAAGCAGATGGCCCATGCCCCGTACCAGCTGCCATCCTCCCGCTGACTGTTCCCAATAAAGCCGACCGCCTTTCGAATGGTCTCGTCAATGTCCCGCGCGCGATAATCAGGAAAATACCGCTTGAACAGGAAAAGACTTGTCAAAACTGCGGTGGTGCACTCCGGGTATGAGTATTCCACCATGATGCAATCGAAAACCTCAGCGGGGTTAAGCAGCTCGAGCCACTCGCTACCCCGAACCTTCTCGTAGCTCGCGAAACCCCCATCTGCGTTCTGCATGAGGAGCAAAGTGTCGACACAGTCCTTGAGTCTGTAGTCGTCAATCAATTGTGGGTAGCCATGTTCCTTTTGCAGCATGAGCACCGCCTTGAGGCTCTCCGCCGCACAGTCGGAGACGATGTATCCATTGCTTTTGGTGCTGAAAGGCCAGCCCCCCTTGCGAGGCTGACGGAAGGGGTCGTCCAGGTTGGTTCTCAGCTGGGACTTTTCCAGAAAATCATGAGCTTTGTGCAACGTATCGCTGAATGTCGGATCATCCGCGAATCCTGCTTCGACGGCAGCCTGGACGGCGAAAGCAGTATCCCAGACTTGGACCCCATTGGTGCCGTTGCATGTCATGCCGTCTGTGCCCATCCAGAGGTATACATCGATCTTTTCGCGATGAAGGCGTAGCCTTTCCGAATCGGGCCCTTCCTCGAACCATGCCTGTACCATGTGAAAGGCCTTATTCACCGGCGCCAAACACTCCCAGTTTGTATTGCGCTCCTCTCTGAGCATCAATTCAGACGCTCTGCGGCTCGCCAGATCAAGCAACCATTGCGGCAGCAGGTAGTTGTAAAAGATGGTTATGATGGAAAACAAGCACAGAAGTAGAGGCGAAACGGAGCGCGCGGCGTCTGATGGTGCAAGAGTGTTGCGATGCTTGACAAAGTCGATCTTGCTGAATCGCTCGGTGTATATTTCTTGTCGAATTTCGGTGAGAAGAGGCGTCAGTGGTATGGTACAGCGGTTAGACCAGAGGTAGGAGGTCGGGAGGTAGACAGCACGGCATTGCACCCACCAACGAGAAGGATGGAAGGGTGCCCATGTCGGGAGAAGCCAGAGGTCAACAGGAATGCAGTTGACACCCTCCCAGTCATACAGGTTTAGACAGGCGAGCCATATTTTGCCCCATTTGGGGATTCCTGCGACCCCGCCCAGCGACAATAAGCATTGTCTGGCCTTGCTTGTCAGAGGGTCATGTCGGTCCATACCGAGGAGTCGAAGCATGACATAGTACAGGCCGGTCGCAAAGACTGTCGATTTGCCCTCCAGATGCAAACCCCAGCCCCCATCCTCGTTGGCGTGGTGTCGGAGATAGCGGACCATTTCCACCTTCCATTCCTTAGGAAGCTCAGATCCAGTGATGTAGATGGCGAACAAAAGACCGGGGAGCAGGAAACTAGGACCGCCGTAGTTGCATGCCCAATGACCTTCAGGAAGCTGCAAACGCGTGAAGAAGTCGAAGCCGTCACGGGCCGTGTCGTCAAAGGAGCGAGCCTTAGAAATGGCTTGCTGTTTCTTGTCTGGATTCAGAATTCCGAGCAGATACTTTTCTGCGTCGCTCTGCACGGGCTCATTGCCTTCACTCTCCGGCAAGTATCTCCAACGATGAACTCCATGCTGACTGGAGAGGCGCCAGCGCGTCAGGTCTGTTGCTGAAGATTCGCTGTCCATTATCACGTCTCATCGATACGCCTGAGAAGGAAATAGGAAAGAAGGATCAATTGAGATTGGGGTTGGTGGGAGTTGAAAAGGAGTAAGTAATCCTCTCCTACCACCTTTCGAGCCCAGCCACATCCAATTTGTGTAGGTTCACCCTTCCCGAAGCATGATCTTTCCCCACACAAACACACGATCCCCTCAACATATCGCATTGTCTCAACCACTACCGATTAGGTTTACAAACTCTCGTTAGTAATTGGTTAGGCTCGCTGCGCACTGGGAGTGATTTCAAATTATCACTTGAAAAGACAACTTAACTAGTCATAACTAAAAGATTAGGAGCTTTGAATAGTAAAATCAGTCAATCGGCTTATAAACGACCGGTAGTCAGGTCTTGACAGGTTGTAGGGGTGATGGCTCACTTTTATTAATCGGCTCAGCTATCCACGGTCCATCATCTGTTGAACAACGGTACTCGCTTTTCAGTAAGACAATAGAACAGCAGGCATCTCAATGGAAGTCACTGCTAGAATAGTATAATTATGCAAACTCATAATCGTCACAATGAGTCAGAAAAGACTGCCCTTGATTTGCGCAGAGCAATTCTTCGCAACAGAATAAGGCGAGACGCTGGTAGCTGAAGACCTGGTCTTCTATCAAGACAAAAAGACAATTGTGATAGCAGAGTTGCCCTTCGGACGCCAAAGCACGCGCATTTGTATGACACAAATCATATTAAATGCAAGAATTCGCGCGGACTGGATTCACGGGAACGCCGCTGTATGGGTTGTGCTGGTATCGACGGGTAGAACTACTTACTGCAAGGAGCCTTTCTTCACTAAACTAAAAGGGTCACGATGGACCTTTACTAGAATCCGCAGGGCGGCTCCGTCTGTGTTGACATCAATTGAAGAACTGTCAGTCAGCGGGAATCGATCGGGGCGCATGCGTCATGTTTTTGGAAGGAAATTAATGTCCGCAGGACCCGTCGGAATCTTTATATCTTGTTCGGAGAATCCATATGATTCCTACGGGTACGGACACGGGTGCGGGAGACAATATTGATGGAACAGACGCGTTGGTGGAGATGATGGCTGAGTGGCTAAGTCGGCTGGCTGCCTCGTGGAGGAATTAGCGTGTGTTAATCCCACTGAAGCTTTTGGGCCGTGCAGTTCTGACATGAAGCCGCCGAAAAGCTATGTCTATGTCAATCCTTTCCTGATGCAGCATTATCATGTATAGGACCGTGCAGGAGCTGTGATGGCAGCAAGAAAACGGTAGCTGAGTTGCCGAGTTCCGACCTTTGACTTTGGTGGCGTCATTAAGTGGCATGCATTCCTGCCCCACCATTGGCCCGTCCGGATTCAACGCCATGGCGGATTTAACGGCTTTCCAGCTTATCTTTGAAATAAAGCCGACGGAATGGACTTGTCGGGATTGTCAAGCACCGGCGACCGACATGGAAGAATCGATGACAATCAATGACATTAGCATGTCGATGCCTAGTATAAATAACGTTGCTGCCATCCTATTCAACAAGTCTTTTTAAGAAGACACAATAATACACCGTGAGATCTACTGTTACTGACTGTCCAATATTTTAATCCACTTCATACAACTCCTTAGACCATTATGGCATCATCAACACCAACTGTTATCATCTTCGGCGCTGCCGGTGCCGTTGGAAGAGCCGCGGCCATTGAGGCCCACTCGCGCGGCGCTCGCATATTTCTTGCCATGCGCAGCACCCAAAAACCAATCCCGGGTCTCCCCAGAGAGTTGGAGGAGAAGAGCAGCTTCACACGAATTGAAGCAGATCTTCTGAACCCGGATTCTATCCGCAATGCTATCAGCAAGTCAGGGGCAACGGTTGCGTTCACCTACCTCATTCATCAGGCCAAAGATGCCATGAAGTCGGCTTTTGGGGCGATGAAAGAAGCCGGGATTAAGCGCATCGTCTTCCTCTCATCATACACCGTTTATCCCGATAGGGAGGCCGCTGCCAAAGGAAAACATGCCATTGCAGGGCTTCATGCTCGAGCCGAGGTCTCCTTGGTGGAGGCCGGTTTGCCGAGCACCATTCTTCGACCAATGTACTTCAGCAGCAACATTAGCTCGGAAGCCGAGGACGTCAAGAACGGGGAGGTCTACTTACTACGACCTGGAGCAATCAGCGACTACCTAGCCCCTGAAGATATTGGGTCTGTGGCTGGCGTGAAGCTTGCACAGCAAACCACCGAGTCCGAAATTATTCCCCTCTGTGGTCCCGAACTTCTGTCACAGCGAGAGGCATGGGAGATTGTTTCCAAGGAGCTTGGTCGGGAGATTAAGATCAAGGAGATCGGAGAAGACGAATTCCTCTCGCGCCAACAAGTCCCTCCACCATTGGCCCGCTGCCTCGCAGACTACTGGCTGGAAGGAGAGGAAGCATCGGCAAGATATCCAGCAGACCGTTACAAAGAGGCATCCGCAACCATGACGAAGTATACAGGAAGAGAGTCAACTACCTTTCCTCAGTGGATAAAGGCTCACAAGTCTGAAATATTCGACGCGTAGTAGACAAGGGATATGACAACCCGAGGCCATAGAGAAAAAGCAAATTCACATCGGGATCCTCCTGACTAAGGGAATTAGATGTTGAAGCAACATATGATGCTCTTCCTTGAAACGTACTGGTTGATTGTAGGGAAATTAGGAAACTTCATATAGTCCACAGCTTCCAAGAATTCGATCGACTTTGTTGACGAACACGCAGTCCGAAATATTCAATTAGAAACAAGTTAAATAACTAATAACAAATTCATCTCCGTTGAAAACATCCATGGTGATATTGTGTGGTATGGCTTGACCAAGGAACCTCACCAGCTCAATCATCGGCAACCAATCCCCATCACACAATCACAAACGATGTGTGCTGATGGTTTCCAACACTTTGACCTTCCATGATGCCCATGATGAAGCTCTCGCCCAAAAAGGTCCACTCCGCCACATCCTTGTGGGACCGTAGCACAAACGGCACACAGCTACCTTTACACACCACCACAGTATCCCCCACACGAGTCTTCTTCGATGCAAGGCCCATGTATCCACTGGCCGTGATTATGAAGGACCTGGCATGAGTGCGTGTGATGGCTGAGTCGGTGAAAGGTTTGACATGGATCCTTCTCCTTTCTTCCAGTTCGTCCTCGGTTTCCGGGTCTCCAGAGCCCGGCAAAAGTGGCGGTAGAGGGCTACGGCCAAGCCAGATATCGAAGTATCGCTTGTAAGAGTCTGGAACCAGATCCCATCTGAAATCTCGGTCAGCCATGAGAGTGCGCCAAAACACATCGTCTACACTCTTTGGTTGATACGGGCTTTGAGTCGACAACCGCCGCCTTGCCTCCTGTTCCCATATCAGAACATTGGTCCGCGTCTGCTCTGCTCTTTGCCTGACGTTCCGTGCCCTTTCCACCCCATTACTGCCTGAGTATGGTGGTAGATACGGGTTTTCGCTTGCGTACACCACGGTATCAATTATCCACCCAGTAAGATGGATTACCTTTTTATGTCTGTCTGATGATGTAGACTGCGGGAACAGCTTTTCCACCCCATCGGAAACTTTCATATCGGGCCCGCTGGCGAAGAATCCTCCTGGGGTAGTTGGCCCAAGCCAAAACCCTCTGTACCCTGCCTTCTCCCTGTCCGGGCGGTTGGAGTAGTCTGGGCACCACGAGGGAAGATGAAGGTCCGGGTCAACGTCATCAACATTGAATTGAAGAGGCAGAAGCAGCTGGTATTCCAAAATGAACCGCGCCGTTGCACGAGCATATACGTCTGCTACGGTTACGCTCTCGCTGTAGTCCGGCAGTATTGGCAACAGGTCTGATCTCTCCTGTTGCTTCCCAATACCAAGAAGCCCATAGATCTTGTCGCGGGGGTCCGTAGCGTAGAAGTAGTCAGTCACTTTGGTCCATGTACTCAAGTTTGATTGGCCCGCTTTGATGAGTTCCTTATCCTCTGGATAATCTGTCAAGATCACCGAAAATTTGTTTTGAGTAAGTTCAAACCGGGAAGGCTGTTCTGCATTGTCGATGTACTTGCGGGTTGGGCGATGGTATCCGCGCCTCACATCGTCAAGGTGAATGAAGGCCTCAACTGATGCTGTCTTCGAACCACAGAGAATGACTGGATTCGGTGAGAGCAAGATCTCTTGGATGACCCAGGTGCGAGACCACCACCCGCGAGCTTGCAATGCAACGATGGCAACCAGCTCCTGGTCGCTGAATGTGTCGGCAGTGATATTCCAGACGTCATCGATATGTAGTCTGTGAATGGCGTTCATTGCCAGGTCGCTGTCATCTGCTGCTCCTCCAAGCCATATGAGGGTCTCGGTGGCTTGAGAGTAGATTTTGTCCATCAGTGCAACCTGATTGTTCTTTTCTACCGCCTTGGGGGCTTGATTGATGGAGATAGCGTCTGCCCAGATGACTTTGGCCGAGTCGCAAGAGCGGATCTGGCGAAGGAAGCCATCGAGATTCTTCGGAATGCGGAAGTCGACGTCATCGTCGAATTCTATCGCGCATTTGTCGGCGGGATCTCCCCAGGTGTACGACAAGGCTATGTAAATTGGCTTATCCGAGAGCGATACGACTTTTGGAACGCAGTTTATCGGCGCATCCTGACTTGTTGCTGGATGAAGCTCGAGCAGACGTATTTGCTCCTTTCTCCCGTCAAGGGGTACATCGTACGTTCCAGGCATTATTTCTTGTCGTTCTACCGTCGCGGTGTTCGATCGCAGAAAATGATAGGTGGCGGATAAGAGGTATCATGGGACGGACACGCCAAGCTTTAAATGCCCCATGTGCTGGCAAGCAAAGACTGCCTAGAGCCAATATTTTTCATGCATAGCTGGTTTATTCTTGCCGTTCTTGGACAGAGCTGAAGGCCCAATATGGACGAGCTGAACATCAGAGCATGGGTGTATTGAGCTAGTGAATCACACGCACTGGCAGAATCCAGCCGCAGAAGCATGATCTCGTTGTCGGTCCAGAACACCGGGTAGCATCTTAAGGGTTGATATGGATTATTCTTTGGATCCGCTCGAGTTCTGTGGACTTCTATAAGATCTTTAGCCTTGTTCGCACGAAAATGAAATGATGATGTCCTTCCCCGACGGGGATTCGTACTTCTATCGTCTTGATATCCCTCATTCATTGCCGAGCAAGGCATAAACGTCGATTTTCCGCTGCCAGACTCGCTTTCGTCCTTGTATTCCACGCATCTCGGCCAGTGCACTTGATAGTTGCTACTGTCGTCGTCGAATTAGGGTTGGTTTGATGGTACAAGAGGGGGTGCGAAAGTGATGTCGTCAATGCTGGCAACAGCATAACACCATCTGTACCACGGGAGACCTCTTACGACGGCGACGTTTGGCTGAATACATGTGGGCTCGTGCCACCTGGACATGAAAAAAGGATCTTGGAAGTTGAGAAGCGTTTAAGTGGATACGATGATGCACTCAGAATACGTTTGAACGCGAGGCTATCAGGTAGAGCACACTATCTCATGCGCTGCTTTGCAGAGCCTGGTCAGGAAATCGAGAGTCAGCTGACGTATCTGAAACGAGTAAGGATTGATTGACGTGGCAAGAGGAGAGTGAAGGCAGGCTGCGGCGCTCATTCGTCATGAGAAGGGGCTCGTCTACTGCCATATACGCACATCATCTGTTGTGATTGGTAATATTGCATAAGATGAGCATTGAGGACTCTGCAAACCCCAAGATCAAAGACACCGATGTCGAATTTGCTGGGCAACATTTCAAATTAACCTTACGCAACAACACATAAGTTGCACGGCCTTGTGCGAATGAACTTTTACACCGCAATGGCCTCATTTAGTCCGGAAGAGCATATCCTTCAGTGCCTTCGTTGGCCCACTTGATGTCCAGCCCCTCCCAATCAACTTCGTTCAGCACCCTGACGTTCAACGGTTGAATCTCAAGTTGTTTCCTCACAAACTCCTTCTTGGCTTCTGGCAGCCTATCGACGATTGACTGCGGAGGACCATAGAGGTTTCCGAAGCAATGAACCCCGCAAGTCTTGCAGAAAGGGGCGCCGTTGAACTTGCGGCCATATTGGTATTCTTGGGTTCTGTCCTTGCCAACGATCGTCACCTGAGATTGATGGGGGTAAACGCCGATGGCACCGTTCTGTTGAAACAACATGTCAGCCCCTCCGAATGAATCAAATTGGCCTGCGGAAGGCCACGAACTCTGATGCAGATGCTGCAATTGTCCTCCTTGATCTCGACTTCCGCTAGAGGCTTGCTTCTCAGTGCGAGTTGCACAGCGCCGCACTCGCAGGATCCAGTGTAGAGCTTGGGATGTTCTTCTGTGGCCTCTGGTGGTGTTGCGTTGATTCTAGGTGGCGACAATGCCGACTCAGAAAGAGTCTCGACGATGCTGAGACAGTGTGAGCGTGACGGTGAGCATGTTCTGGGTCAAGGCTTCAGCGACAAACCTGAGACTCCCGGGATAATCAGCAGGTTCACCAGAAGGATCTAGAGTCACAACTTGTTTGCCCTTGAGAAATATTCCTGGGATGCCAGAAATAAGGGGACGCAAGTTGATTCCTCTCTTGCCGGCTTGGACACCGGACGTGTGCGTTCCAAACAGGCCTGTACCGCAGTTTGCGCAGAACTATCGTGCGCTGTGATTAGCGTCGCACAGTGATGGTCTCCATGACTAGCCGGCCTCACCTCGTGCTGAAGTGCCTCTCCACTGTTCGAAGTATACGAAGTCAGTAACTCTGAGTTGCAACCCCTCGTAATCCTCAGCTTGTCCTCTGTGTCGTAGATCCAGACATAGCCTTTCTTTGCGCAAAGCGAGCAGTCGCAGATCACTAGCTGGGGCAATGCAGGGAGTTGCACTTCGAAGCGGTTCGCCCCGCAGTGACAGTTGCCCTGAAAAGTTGCCAATGACTCAGCCATTGCAGCCCGCGCGGTAACCGTGATCCAAGTTATCAACAGGCAGTATGCGTATCGCAACAAAGCCAAGAGATGCGCGAAACAAACACCAAGACAAACCGTCGATTTATGACTTGGCGCGAAAGAACTTTGGTGGCGCTGCGATACGGCAGGCTGCGCCGCTAAACTGCCAGCATGACCAGCGACTGTCACCGAGCTTCCCAATTCATCGACATCTCCGCACGGGAACATGTGCGACAGCGGCGCAGAATCGCTGACCAATGATGTTGTGAAAGATGATCTGCGCACCACAAAGGAGGGCTTCTCTCGATCATGATTTGATATTCAGTGATACGGATCTAATGACTTCTCATTGAGCCTTAAGGGTCTCATAGTCCGCGCTTCATTTTGACATTCACCTCGTCTTCAGATAGTATTGCTGTCGCGATGAATCTGAAGCTTATCTTGCTCCCAGCCCCCGCAGTGAGCTAATGTCATCCGATCATGTCCGGTAGGCAGCTGACTCAGGCGGCTTCGGCCATCCGATCAGTGGATTGCGTGGTGAAACTAGCTGGGGCCCGGGTAACACGGCATCCCCGACGCCATAAGAACAC